TCTTTTTCCTATCATAATGACACCAAAAATATGAAATTTGATGAAAAACTTAGGGAATTATGCACTTGCGAAGTTAGCGGTCTCAAAGTTGGCGATTTCGCCTATTTTGGGTCCTATTTTCAGCCAATTCCCATGTTGCAGTTGACTAAAATCATAACTATTTCCCTAGAACTTCATTTGTTCTAATCGGTTGAGTACAAGAATTTGCCCATTTACCGATTTCAACTACCCAATAAAGTGGTCAGAAATTGGCAATTTAGGCAATTTCACACAAATTTCAAAAGGTGCCAGTTTCAAAATAGGGTTCAGAATAGACAAGACAGACATTCATGAAACTAAAATAACATTTTATCTGTTCACTAGTCACGTCTCTAGGTCCCTCATACATTACTTTTGCTTTCCATTTTGAATTTTTATTCTCACAGAAAATAGAAAGTTTTCTGTTATGTATACTACTGCATCATTGTAAAAATGGTATAAATGATATCGGCGCACTTATGAAAGAATATTAGACTCGCCAGTTGACGTGTATTGCATGCGTGACTTGATTTGTTTATTATTGAATATTGGCAAAAATCGATAATTTTCGCTACTTTGAGCTCAATTTCAAGGTACTTGTCATCATGAAACCAATCAAAATCATCTCTAATTTTGTAATATATCTTCCATTCTATCAAGTGAGACCAAGGAAACGAGAATACAACCATAAATACCATATGAAAATTCACTAGAAAGTTTTAAACCAAAAACACAGTCAGTTTTTTTTCTCATTATGCACAGCGTGCTTCAGGATTTTTTTTATACTGTGCAGACTGACCACACAGACCCATTCTTTCATATATAGGCCTGCCAGCTTTCTTCCACCAGATTTGAAGACGTTAGAATTTAGGTGTACAAGTACGTAACCAACCGACCCTCAAAGGGTTAAATAGGACTCAAAGTGGGCAAAATCGCCAATACCTAAATATGACTAATGCACCAAAATTCGTGATAGCTTAATTTTGTCAATTTTCCATCAAATTTCATACTCCTTGTTTTATTACCTTCAGAAAAAGATTCTCTACAATTTCTTAAGAAAAAATCAATTTTGGGGGGGAAAATTCTTGGACCCTGTGGACAAGTCTCAGATCAGGGTTCTGGACCCTCAAAAGATTAATAATATCCCTATCCCTGTAAATGTTAATTCAGAATATGTATTATTAATATATTTAATGATATTTCTTAGATTTTTTTTATCAACCCAAGATAAATATGTTTTTTTTTTTTTTTCCCAACAAGTTGGTCGTCTCCCACCGAGGCAGGGTGACCCAAAAAAGAAAGAAAATCCCCAAAAAGAAAATACTTTCATCATCATTCAACACTTTCACCACACTCACACATTATCACTGCTTTTGCAGAGGTGCTCAGAATACAACAGTTTAGAAGCATATACGTATAAAGATACACAACATATCCCTCCAAACTGCCAATATCCCAAACCCCTCCTTTAAAGTGCAGGCATTGTACTTCCCATTTCCAGGACTCAAGTCCGACTATAAGAAAATAACCGGTTTCCCTGAATCCCTTCACTAAATATTACCCTGCTCACACTCCAACAGATCATCAGGTCTCAAGTATCATTCGTCTCCATTCACTCCTATCTAACACACTCCTGCACGCTTGCTGGAAGTCCAAGCCCCTCGCCCACAAAACCTCCTTTACCCCCTCTTTCCAACCCTTTCGAGGACGACCCCTACCCCTCTTTCCTTCCCCTATAGATTTATATGCTTTCCATGTCATTCTACTTTGATCCATTCTCTCTAAATGACCAAACCTCCTCAACAACCCCTCTTCTGCCCTCTGACTAATGCTTTTATTAACTCCACACCTTCTCCTAATTTCCACACTCCGAATTTCTGCATAATATTTACACCACACATTGCCCTTAGACAGGACATCTCCACTGCCTCCAACCGTCTCCTCGCTGCTGCATATTACCACCCAAGCTTCACATCCATATAAGAGTGTTGGTACTACTATACTTTCATACATTCCCTTCTTTGCCTCCATAGATAACGTTTTTTGACTCCACATATACCTCAAACGCACCACTCACCTTTTTTTCCCTCATCAATTCTATGATTAACCTCATCCTTCATAAATCCATCCGCCGACACGTCAACTCCCAAGTATCTGAAAACATTCACTTCTTCCATACTCCTCCTCCCCAATTTGATATCCAATTTTTCTTTATCTAAATCATTGATACCCTCATCACCTTACTCTTTTCTATGTTCACTTTCAACTTTCTACCTTTACACACATTTCTCAAACTCATCCACTAACCTTTGCAATTTTTCTTTAGAATCTCCCATAAGCACAGTATCATCAGCAAAAAGTAACTGTGTCAATTCCCATTTTGAATTTGATTCCCCATAATTTAATCCCACCCCTCTCCCGAACACCCTAGCATTTACTTCTTTTACAACCCCATCTATAAATATATTAAACAACCATGGTGACATTACACATCCCTGTCTAAGACCTACTTTTACCGGGAAGTATTCTCCCTCTCTTCTACACACCCTAACCTGAGCCTCACTATCCTCATAAAAGCTCTTTACAGCATTTAGTAACTTACCACCTATTCCATAAACTTGCAACATCCACATTGCTCCTCTATCCACTCTATCATATGCCTTTTCTAAATCCATAAATGCAATAAAAACTTCCCTACCTTTATCTAAATACTGTTCACATATATGCTTCAATGTAAACACTTGATCTACACATCCCCTACCTACTCTGAAGCCTCCTTGCTCATCCGCAATTCTACATTCTGTCTTACCTCTAATTCTTTCAATTATAACTCTACCGTATACTTTTCCTGGTATACTCAGTAAACTTATTCCTCTATAATTTTTACAATCTCTTTTGTCCCCTTTCCCTTTATATAAAGGGACTATACATGCTCTCTGCCAATCCCTAGGTACCTTCCCTCTTTCATACATTTTATTAAACAAAAGTACCAACCACTCCAACACTATATCCCCCCCTGCTTTTAACATTTCTGTCATGATCCCATCAGTTCCAGCTGCTTTACCCCTTTCATTCTACGTAATGCCTCACGTACCTCCACCACACTTACATTCTGCTCTTCACTCCTAAAAGATGGTATACCTCCCTGGCCAGTGCATGAAATTTACCGCCTCCCTTTCTTCCTCAACATTTAAAAGTTCCTCAAAATATTCTCGCCATCTACCTAATACCTCCCTTCTCCCCATCTACTAACTCCCCTACTCTGTTTTTAACGGACAAATCCATACTTTCCCTAGGCTTTCTTAACTTGTTTAACTCACTCCAAAATTTTTTCTTATTTTCATTAAAATTTCTTGACAGTGCCTCTCCCACTCTTTCATCTGCTCTCCTTTTGCACTCTCTCACCACTCTCTTCACCTTTCTTTTACTCTCCATATCTCTGCTCTTCTTATAAACACTTCTGCTTTGAAAAACCTCTCATAAGCTACCTTTTTCTCTTTTATCACTCCCTTTACTTCATCATTCCACCAATCACTCCTCCTTTCCTCCTCTGCCCCCACCTCCTATAACCACAAACTTCTGCCCCACATTCTAATACTGCATTTTTAAAACTATTCCAACCCTCTACAACCCCCCAGTACTCATCTTTGCACTAGCCCACCTTTCTGCCAATAGTCGCTTATATCTCGCCCGAACTTCCTCCTCCCTTAGTTTATACACTTTCACCTCCCTCTTACTTGTTGTTGCCACCTTCCTCTTTTCCCATCTACCTCTTACTCTAACTGTAGCTACAACTAAATAATGATCTGATATATCAGTTGCCCCTCTATAACTCTATAAACATGTACATCCTGGAGCCTACCCATCAACCTTTTATCCACCAATACATAATCTAACAAACTACTTTCATTACATGCTACATCATACCTTGTATATTTATTTATCCTCTTTTTCATAAAATATGTGTTACTTATTACCAAATTTCTTTCTACACATAGCTCAATTAAAGGCTCCCCATTTACATTTACCCCTGGCACCCCAAATTTACCTACTACTCCCTCCATAACATTTTTACCCACTTTAGCATTGAAATCCCCAACCACCATTACTCTCACACTTGATTCAAAACTCCCCACGCATTCACTCAACATTTCCCAGAATCTCTCCTCTCTCCTCTACACTTCTCTCTTCTCCAGGTGCATATACGCTTACTATAACCCACTTTTCACATCCAATCTTTATTTTACTCCATATAATCCTTGAATTTATGCATTTGTAGTCCCTCTTTTCCTGCCATAGCTTATCCTTCAACATTATTGCTACTCCTTCTTTAGCTCTAACTCTATTTGAAACCCCTGACCTAATCCCATTTATTCCTCTCCATTGAAACTCTCCCACCCCCTTCAGCTTTGTTTCACTTAAAGCCAGGACATCCAGTTTCTTCTCATTCATAACATCCACAATCATCTTTTTCTTATCATTTGCACAACATCCACGCACATTCAGACTTCCCACTTTGACAATTTTCTTCTTCTTATTCTTTTTAGTAATCTTTACAGGAAAAGGGGTTACTAGCCCATTGTTCCCGGCATTTTAGTTGACTTTTACAACACGCATGGCTTACGGAGGAAAGATTCTTATTCCACTTCCCCATGGATATAAAAGGAAAAGTAATAAGACCAAGAACTATTAAGATAAAATCAAAGAAAACTCAGATGAGTGTGTATAAATAAACATGTATATGTATGTGTAGTGTGACCTAAGTGTAAGTAGAAGTAGCAAGACGTACCTGTAATCTTGCATATTTATGAGACAGACAAAAGACACCAGCAATCCTACCATCATGTAAAACAATTACAGGCTTTCGTTTTACACTCACTTGGCAGGACGGTAGTACCTCCCTGGTTGGTTGCTGTCTACCAACCTACTACCTAAATATGTATTGTATTGTATTGTAACACTGTGTCAATTATTTTATTTAGGTTGATGATGAAAGTCATAGTGAAAGCCAAGATACAGTTGATGAACATCATTATCAAACCCTAGAGGAAGTCAGGGAGGAGGTGAAAGTCAATGCTGAACAAGTCAAGGTGCCACCATCTGTACCGGCATCGTCCATCAGTCCTCCTGTTCTTGATACTCCTGAGGTATGTGAATGCTCATTTATTGAGAATAATTCTCCCATTGTTGGATGACCATTGTTGAGTATTTCTTCATGAGTGACTTGTGTCAAATATAGATCTTCAGTAATTCTGTTCTTTTCTTCAAATACTGTGTTCTTCCTTGAAATAATAAATCAGTCACTTTGTAATTTCACTAAGTTGTCAGATAAGAACACTTTCAGATACATTGTATGTGCTATATTCTTATAATGTTTGGAGAATAATAATCATATTTATCAGCTGCAAGCTGGCATGAAGGGAGGGAGACTGCTTATATAGCTTCAGAAATATACAGTTAACATAACTAACATTAAATGATTAACAATAAATAACATTGTTTAAAAATGATATAACTCTAGAATAGTATTTATAACATAGGAAGCACATATTACTGTAGTGAGGAAATAATTTATATCGGTTAACTGTAGCTAGATTTGTCACTTATTCTGGCAACTAAAACCACTGACTGAGGACAAATTTGCTCTCTTATTGGAATCACTGGGGCATGCATTGAACCTAGACTCTAAAAACTTGTGCTTTTATAAATCAAGTAGTAGTTATTTTTTAACTTGAATAACTCTTTCTTGCCTATTATTCTCATAGAATGCTCTACTACCTGATTTATGGAAACTTCACAAAAGAAATAGTGCTTGCACTTCCAGTAATGGGGCAGAAAATTACCCTTTTTTAGAATCTTAGGTGATGGTATCTATCTTGTACATTTTTGGGACTTAATGCATGTGAGGTTTATTTGTTTAAGGGTATGCAGCGACACTATTAGGGACAGCAAGGGAACATGTGTGTTTTCAAACACTGCATTACAATTGACACTAAACAAAGCTTTTACAATAATTGCTTTCAGCGATTATAATAAACATACTAACTTTTAGATAAATTGGCATTGTATACAGTGCCTGCAGTTTTCTGGAAAAAGGTTACCGTTCTTATTTATTAATTCAGTAAACTTTTGCTGAACAATATTATCTGTTATCTGTATGATGTTGAAGTTTATGCTTTTTTGTAACCACTGACATTTGTAAAAGTGTTTGTAATGAACCTGCCTTGGACTGTTCAGTATATGGATGTTGTAATCAAACTTGGATATGGTTGTATTCCACAGCTTCATAATAAAATATGAATTTTATATCAATATACTGCAAGTTTGTTGGAAATTTATTGGAAAATAAAAATATAAAAAAGACTTAAAACCCAGGTTCAATTTCTGTGCTGGTAGCAGCCTGTTGGTATTTCTCCTTCCAACCATTTGCTAATTCCTCTCTAACAATGTTTTGAATCAGTGAGTGGATCTCGCTGTGAATCTCAAGAAGTCAGTCTTCACTACCTTTGATATGTACCTTTGAAGAGTTTCGAGAGTTTATCTACTCTCTGAGCCCAGCCATGGGCCAGGCTCGTCTGGTCCTTGCCAGGTCAGCCAGGCTGTTGCTGCTGGAGGCCCACTGCCCCACATATCCATCACAGCCTGGTTGAAATTATAAATATACAAGCAGTAAAAATATTGCCTTTCAAATATTACAGGGGTCCCTGTAGAGGTGAAATTTTTCCAGCAACTCTCATGAGAAGAAGCAAGTAGTGTGAAGTACCATGAACATTTTTTTGTACTAAAATTGCTTTAAATAGCATCTAACATGTATAGTACAGTATAGTATGCATAAAAATGTAACTAATAACGTTAATAAAATTATCATTCTTATATACTTGAAAAATATCTATGAGAACACATTTTTATCACCCAAGAAAGTTGCAAAAGCCAATACATAAATAATTACACTAATGTGTTTTGAGATGGTGTAATGTCTAAAATATATGGTATCTGTCTTGTATAAAAAAAAAGGCATGTAAAGAAAAGATTTTATATTAACCAAAGTATTAACCAAGAAATGAGTGCCAGGATCATTACTTTCTTGCTTTTAACATATAGTCTCAAATAGTTACATAAGCATGATTTGACTTCATCTAACTGGATAGTGCCTACTGATTTACTAAATTTACAATTTTTGGGGTTTGCTTGAATTTATAACACGTTACACTACATAATTTTCCAACATTTCTTTTTTATTTAATTTTCTTACATAGAAGCTATTCCCTGAAAACCACACAAATTTTCCTGAGCAACAATGGTAATGTCGCAGCATACCTAGATAGCATTTAATGCATGATTGGTTCTGGCACTGTGCCGTGGGTCACTCAGGTGCTAGACGTGACGTGGACGGATGGCCCTTCCCAGGCAGCCCCACCTTCGGAGCCCCCTCCCCCTCCTCCCCCTGATGACGATTCTGACATCGATGCATCAGATGAGCCACAAAGTCTTCCAACTGAGGAGGAGGTGGGTATAGCACTAAAATATGATGAATAAAAATATATTCAATGTTAGTACATGTATTGTGTTACTACTGTTACAAGCTAAATCATAAAAGAAACCCCTAAGCATTGAAATTTGTAAAAGAGGCAATAAGCAGACAATTAGATGATGGACACATGAAACAGAATAAGTTTTTATTATAACAATGTTTACCTCAAGAAGCTTTATCAAGTTCTTCTTTCTTTCAACAAACCAACCGTATCCCACCGAGGCGGGGTGGCCCAAAAAGAAAAACGAATGTTTCTCTTTTTAAATTTAGTAATTTATACAGGAGAAGGGGTTACTAGCCCCTTGCTCCTGGCATTTTAGTCGCCTTACAACATGCATAGCTTACGGAGGAAGAATTCTGTTCCACTTCCCCATGGAGATAAGAGGAAATAAACAGAACAAGAACTAGTAAGAAAATAGAAGAAAACCCAGAGGGATGTGTATATATATGCTTGTACATATATGTGTAGTGTGACCTAAGTGTAAGTAGAAGTAGCAAGACGTACCTGAAACCTTGCATGTTTATGAGACAGAAAAATGGACACTAGCAATCCTACCATCATGTAAAACAATTACAGGCTTTCGTTTTACACTCACTTGGCAGGACGGTAGTGCCTCCCTGGGCAGTTGCTGTCTACCAACTTACTACCTAGACTTTATCAAGTTACCTTGATAAAACTTCTTCAAGCTGCTCTTTGAAATATTGACCTGATTAAAGTTTATGAAATTTCATATGTAATTATCATACAGGCAGTGAAAATGCTGAAGAGCAATACAACATAATCCTAGGCATTTGAAAGGAATTCACTTACAGTAGTTCTTGTAGAAATTAATATTTGGAATTGAGTAAAAATTTTAATTTTTCGAGAAAAATACTATGATTATTAATGGAATATGTGTATGGGCTAAGGCATTTGACTTATTGCTGTAAGGAGGTAGATTTAATCATCTATGTTGATAAAATAAATGCAGTTTTATTTTGTGGTATAGTTTAGGGTTGGTCTTTGTCTCAAGTCATGGGCTTTTCATATGCTGCAAAATTAGTCCACTACCCAGTGATACAAATGGCAATAAATAAATACCCATACACTAACTACTATTGAATAAAAGGTGGAGTACAAACAGTTTTTTTTCCACACAATATAGTTTTCTAACATTTCTTCACATTCTTAGGATGTGTGCAAAATCCTTAGAAAGACATTACTCATTTATGTTGTCATTTAACTTCTTGTATGCACCATATACATGGGGCCTGTAGCTGCTATTTGCTTTGCAAAATTGAATCCAATTTATATGCATACAATTCAGTATTAACTTATTTTCTTAGTTTTTCCATTCTCTTCCAATAGAGAATGTTTGTTTTACTTGCACACTCTATTTTCTTATTTTTCTGAGGCTTCATTTTTTCCTTGTATTGTTTAGTAATAGTTTAATTTTGGTACTACATTTAGCATGAAACTTAATGATTCATTATCTTTTGACAACCCAACAGTCAACTGTATAATTTTGGAAATATATACAAGACAAAGTGGAATCTCTACTATTCATCACTTTACCACAAACCTTAATTACTGACAAATTTTTGTTTGGGAACCACTGGCATCACACTTGGGCAAAACTGTGTTTGAGCTTGGCATTGTCAGCAGCAGATGTTTGCATATAGTAGTGGATGTCTAACCACCACTGTCTCAGTAATGTACTCACACCACTGCAGAAACTGAATACCTATTTTCTTATATGTAGCATAATGATAATGACTGATGTAAATAAGAGTGTCATTATCATGGGTTGTAAGCATTATTTATCATTTTGCAAATTTTTTTGTAACTGTTTAATAAGCATAGAAAGGTGAGCTTTGTTAATGCAGGAAGGTAAGGCAAATCTCTTCATGTATTTGGAATGTGTTGAGGGAATGGCAGTTGTTTGCAGTGGATTTAGGCTAAAATTATGAAAACTTCCACATATTTATGCAGTATTCTATGCAAACGGAAACTACTACTAGACTCAAAATTCTCATTTGGATAGTTTTATGTATGGATGTCTTAAACAGATGCCTTTGCTATATCAAAGAATTAGATGTCCCATGTTCCAAACTTTAGGAATTTCATTAGAAATGAAAGCTGTAGAAAAAGTGAGGGTATTCCTCATGGGTTATGTTATCACATTATTTTAGTGCAGGTGAGTATGTTAGAAAGTGAGAAAACTGAGCAAACACAAGATCATTAGAACAACTCTATGGTGCCAGTAAAATTGGATTATTCTGGTTATTGGCTATATCTTACCTTGGCTGGTGATTTGGCACATTATACTAAGAAAAAGTTACTAGTTTATCTTTTGTCATGGAAGTGTGTGGAGAAGGTTGATGTGGCCCTACTGGGTGAGGTGGATAGCTATGGTTCTTGTATTGATGTGGATGTAGAGTTGTCAATAGTTGATGGTTGTACTGGAATGTTCAAGTTTTCTGTAATGTGTGCCTGGTCTGTGTTACTTTATAAAGCTGACTACAGTGCATCAACTGCTCCAGAGTAGTGCTTCTAAATGTATGAAGATCGTTTTCAGTGGATTTCTTATTTAAGTGGTGTGATGTTAAGTGTTTATCTTGAGGTTCTTCCTCCCTGTCCTCTTCTTTTATTTGTCTTTCTCTTTATTGGGAATTGAGCTCCTCCATCAATTCTTCTGCAGCTGGTTCTTAGTTATTCTCTTCTAACAGTTTGTTTACATCATCTTCATGCACATCTTCATAGCTCTCACTTCTCGCCATCCCTGCTTGAGCCCCAATTTCCTGGACCTGATTTCTTACTGCGGTAAAATCAGAAAAATTATTTACCACAGAAGGCCATATTGATCTCAGCTTGCATTTATGGCTGAGTGGGGCACTTCATTTCATGCATAAGTGCATCTGCAGTGTTAAATTTATTCCAGAACTCGGGTATGTCAGTTTTGGAGCTGTCATTCATTGATGCAATTTTTGTCCATTACCTTATGTTTGTAGTGGCACTTAAATGCTTTGATAATTCCTTGATGTAGTGGCTGTATTAAAGATGCTGTATTGGGTGGTAAAAACACAACCTTCAGAGCACATTGTAACCAGATTTTGTTCATACTATGATGCTGTGTTAGTTCTTACATTCTTTATGGCAGGGTTGAGCAAACTGCAGCCCGGGGGCTGCATGTGACCTGCCTAAGGTTTTCATGCGGCCCACCAAGATCAAGTCATATACTAACGTATATGCAGCTGAATGAGCAAAACTTTGTTCATTTTCCTCTGTTGAAAACATGAGCTGTTAAACAAGCATTATCAGACAAATACAGTTCCCAGTTGACGACTTTAGAAGTTTGCTCACCCCTGTTTTATGGTGTAGTAGCTTGGATTTTTGGTCTGGTGTGAAATTTTGGTTGCAGTTTTTCAGTTTATGTTGCAAAAAAATTGCACTCTGCAATGTCATGTTTTAAGAGTAAATTTACTATGAGTCTAAAGCTCAAATGAGCACATTCATTTTTGCAGGGCAAAATGGCACTTTGTGGGAGGCAACCAAGAGATAGCATGATGTGGCAAAAAGGGAATAATATACATAATGCATGTATTCCAATATAGGTTGAGGTTCTAAGGCCAAATTTTTTGGGCAAAATATAAGGTGTTAACATATTCATGGGCATTATTCTGAAAGGTTCAAATATTTAAACTGCAATCTCTATACAGAAGAGTACAAGAATAAAGTAGCACTGCAATAAGCCTACTGGCTGTGATAAGGAGGTCCTGCCCACAGTCATGTATACCACCCCCTCTACAGTAAATGCAAAGACCAGTGTTTTAATTCCTCTATGAGAGCATGAAAACTCTAATAGACAGATACTGCAATTGGCCTGCTGGTCTATACTAGGCAAATTCAACTCTCACCCAAACACTCCCATTCATGGATCTGTCCAAACTTTGCCTTTTCCTCCACTCATTTCCAGCTCTGGTGCCAAACCAGCATTGACCTTTTTCTTCAACAAACCGGCCATATCCCACTGAGGCAGGGTGACCTAAAAGGACAAACGAACGTTTCTCTTTTTAAATTTAGTAATGTATACAGGAGAAGGGGTTACTAGCCCCTTGCTCCCAGCATTTTAGTCACCTCTTATGAGACACATGGCTTATGGAGGAAAGATTCTATTCCACTTTCTCATGGAGATAAGAGGAAATAAACAAGAACAAGAATTGGTAAGAAAATAGAAGAAAACCCAGAGGGGTGTGTATATATATGGTTGTACATGCATGTGTAGTGTAACCTAAGTGCAAATAGACGTAGCAAGATGTACCTGAAATCTTGCATGTTTATGAGACAGAAAAAAAAGAGACCAGCCATTCTACCATCATGCAAAACAATTAAGTTTCTGTTTCACACTCACTTGGCAGGATGGTAGTACCCCCTGGGTGGTTGCTGTTTACCAACCTACTACCTAGGAATACTTAACCAGATATTACAGCACTGTAGATGTGAGCACAATTTGAGGGACATGTGACTTAAGATGTTTCTAATACTGCTACACAATTCTAAAATTATGATTGACATACACATGAATGAGAATAGTTGGATGAGAGAATGACCTTCATAGCATGGGTTAGAAAGCCTACATCATTGCTCTTCTAGTCATGTTTTTATATGGGGGGAAGCACTGGAATTCATTGCCAGAACACACTAAAGGGCCTCTGCCTGCAAATTAATTTTAGACTCTACTTAGAAATCACCTCATCACCCATACTAAACCAGAAAAACACTTTACACCTACCAGTTACCCAAAAGTTACTCAAAAAACTAAATAATGTATGATTGCTCAACTATTTGATAGTGTACTTTAGCCCTTTGACTGTCGTAAGCCCCTTTCTGAAACTGTCATTCTGTCACAAAATTTTTGGAAAAAAAAAATTATTTTTTCTTGTGAAATGATAGAGAATTTTTTCCCAATGGTAATGACACCAAAAGTACGAAATT